TCAGAAATCAGAGGCAGCTAAATAGCTCCCCCACCAATTGCCAAATCCAGTTAACATAGCACCATCTCTTCTTAACACCAAGATGGTTCTCCTTTGGGGAAACTAAGCCCCGTGATCACATCTCCAGCTGGGGGATCATCTAGTATACATTATTTTGTCATATTACTACATATGATATTTTCAGTAGCCTTACTACTTATGTAGTTATGATTTCTGTTTAGTTGTTGTCCTCTTTAATATCCTAGAGAAAATGGCATATCTAGAAATCCAATAAATAGTTGGGTGCTAAAATCTATTGTTAAGAAGACAGCTTATGGATAAAAATATACAGATATCATCTGATTAATTGAGTGGCTTGACAATTGGTGGCTAAGGTTATGACAACTCATTGTGGTTCCATTTTCAATCCCTAAGATTGTTGATCGCAATCCAGACATTGTGGAAAGCATCTTTTTTTCTCTTTTTTCTATTGTTACTAAATTCTCCCCAGTGTGCTACATCATAAATTTGGTGCATAACCTGAAACAGAAACTTTTTGCATGAACGGGACTAACTCAAGGCAAATCCACATATCTACAATGGGAAGCTGAAATTATTTCCTGTTCACCACATAGTGGAGCGTCAATTTGGGTCTGGAAATCATGACTACAGGAATTAATGATAAAGAACCATTAAAAAAAAAAGGCAATATACAGAAGAATTAGGCTGCAAAAAAATCTAGAAATGCTTAAGACAAGTATTTTTCTATTAAAAAACGTTAAAATACTCCACTGAAAATAGTTGTGAAGACGTATCTCACCTGAGCTGGAACAGCCTCTGCTAGTGCCTTGGGAATGTTCTTAGGCTCAAGGAAGATATTGACTAGATACAGAGCTGATCCAGATAATACATTTGCAAAAAAAATGTTCCATATAGTAAAGAACAACAGCTTGGTACATGCACTTTTTTCTATCTGACTGTTGGAAATATACCCTTCAATGGAGGAAAACAGTACCATAATAGGCGGCACAACAGACAGGAACAATTGGAGAATGAGACTAGGAAGATATCCTGTAATCACTTGACTGATGAAGGTACTGCAGCGCAAAAGTTACACATTAGTGCCTATTCAAAAATAAGATGATGTGCTAACAAAAGCAAAAGGTGGAGGGGAAGAGCACAAATAAAGGCAATATCATACAAATACTAAAGTCTTTTATAGTTTTCAAGTCTGCGCATGATTAGCAGGAAATGAGACAGAAATCAGACATCAATAATGATGTCAAATTTAAGGGAAAAAAATAAAGAGAATAAAAACTCTCGTGAGTCATTCTCTAAAATTTAAAATTAAAAAAAAGAACTGGAAAATGATACAGCCATTCTATATTCTAAGAGAAAAGAAAGATCATATACATAGAGAAAAGCATCAAGGTGGTACATATAAGTACTTCAAACCACCTGTATTTAACTGAGATAAATAAGCCGTTTGGATAGAGATAATTTTGTAAATAAATATCTGAGATATTAAGAGAGAAATATTTCAAAACAACATAGAAAGATTAGAGTTACCCTCTTGTTTTCTTTTAGAACTTAATAAGCACTGCACTATTCTTTTTAGAAGGAATAAGCACCCTACTTATTGTATTACCAAATAGGGCACTTTTCTTTTTAGAAGGAATAAGCGCCCTACTTATTGTATTACCCAAATAGGTAAACATAAAGAAAGGTACTTAAAGTTGGATGAGTATTTAACGATCAACTCAAATGCCTTAAAATTACCTATTTCTACAGAATAGAAAAAATGGCGAGATAACATGATGAAAAAATGGAAAAGGAGCCATAACTTGAATTTATCTAATTAAGTTCGAATTCTTATATAATTAATTTGAGTTTGATTCAAATGTTAATTCTATTCAATAAGAATATTAATACAATACAAATAGAATAAAATTGGGATGCAGATAGTATTCTAATTTTAAGTTAATTTCATATTTAATTAAGTACTTCTATGACTCCTTTTACAAGTAGGAATACAAACCTATCATTAAATAATAGAGTATATAAATTTATAGCAAAATTTCTACAAATGACACAATTAAGGTCTAAGAGTAGCATAGGAATAATATACTTGAACCAAACCTAGCTTTATGGTTGCATTGGAATGCATAAAAAGCTAACAAGCAAATTTTACATACATCTATAAACAATTGTTGAAAATAATCCATTGCATGCTTCAATTCAGCTATGATTCAATAAAGTAATGAAGAAGAACGTACAGACTCAATATGTCTTTCAGAAAAGGGAACCAAGTCTCCAAGCGATTCAGATTAGCAAGACCTTGCACTACTACTACTGGAATAAGGAATAGAATTGTAAGAGCTATATATGCAACGACAACCACCAGCTTCGATATCCATCTTCTTATGAATGATGTAGAAAAGAAAGTCCAGTGAATATCTCGAGGCTCAGGTGCTCTCTCAGTGATCCACTCTGTTGGATTGACCCCTTGTTGGATGTGCAAGGCTATTGCAGCTCCATACCTAGAATTGAATGACACAAAAGCAGCTGGAACTTCCTAAAATATTTGACAATCAGAAGTGTATGTCCATCAGGGAAAATTTTGTTTCAAACAGAAAATAAAAATATAATATTGAAAGGATAACATTTCCAATCTTTTTTTTTAGGAACAAAAGAGAATATATACGATATCGTCATGGGTCCTAAAAAATCTTTCTAGACCAGCCTTCAGCAATCAGCATGAAATAAAAAAAAAAAGGTCCATTCATCTATTAATTTTCACTTATGTGTTCATCCATTAATTTTCACTCACGTGTCAAACACATTTACTCTCCAACTTATGTGTGTTATGCAATTGGTTGCTGCAAGTACTGTTTAACCCTCCAACAAATGAAAATGGGACTCATGGTGCATTTTTGTTTCTTTATTGTCGGCCCTTTCCACTCAAATTCGTCAAGGTTCTAATGCATCATGTAAAGCCTCTAGGCACAAGCATTATTGGCCCAACTTTTTAGGTGTAAATCACTGGTTTTTGAAGGTTCAAACTCAAGTTATTGGAATTTTATAACTTGAGCTTTTACATAAAGTTCAACAATCACATGATTTTCAGTGTAGAATAGAGATATTTGTTAAAAATGAAGTCAATCATAGTGTCAAAAAGAAAGTAAATCAGAGTGTTAAAGATAAAGCAAATCAAGATATTAAAAATGAAGCAAATCAAATTAAAGAGTAAAATTACATCCTTTGTAATTAATTGTTTATTTCCTCTTCCATACTAGAAAACCTGTATATATAGAACTGTAAGATTCAATAGAACACATCAATTAAAAAATCATTCTTAACATAATAGCAGAGTTTTAAGTTAAGAAATCCCTAAATTTTTTTACAAACTCTATTCGGCCTTCATTGCTGAAAAAAAAAACCTTAAAAAATGGCAGCCTTCATAGCTGGCCACCACCACTAGGCAGCCTTCATAGTCAGCCCTAGAAGCAGTTGTTGCTCCTTGCAGCTGCCACCCAGCCTAGGTGCACCTCCTGGTTAGGCCAGAACCAGCTGCTGCTCCCTATAACCGCTAGCCACCAGCCACAAGTTGTGACTCCCGCCGTGCTTCTCTCTGTCCAGCTGTGCCTCCAGCACTTGTCCACAAGCACAAACCGCCTCGCACAGCTCTCTCTGTCACCTTCATTGTGACCAGACGCGAATGACTTCCCAGTTTGCCCACAGCTGCCGCACAGTCTTCTTGATTGCCTTCATCACAAGATTATTAGACTTGCGACTGTGAACTACTAGTGACCAGACACCATCTCCCTTTGTGGCCAGACACCAGCAGTCGCTTCTCCCTTCATCCCCACAGTTACAAGTCACCACAATGGCCATATAAACGATCTTCAGTTCATCTCTGTCGCGATTCCGGTCCAGATCCAAGTCGAACCGAGTTAAGGTCTAATTCCCAAGCTTTAGGTTAAGAAATTTTTGGACTGAATTGATGAAGATGACAAGAACCAAGCTAAGTATGAGCACAATTTCTCCACTCCCCCAATCTGATGGACAGCCTGAAAGGAACCAGTACATAGAAAGTTACCTTAGATGTATGGCTTTTTGGAGTTCTAAGTTATGGAGTAAATGGATCAACCTCACAGAGTGGTGGTACAATAGCACTTACTACTCCAGCCAAGAAATGCCACTATTCACAACATCGTATGGGTTCCACTATCTCTCTTAATAGAGCCAAGAGTTTGGACAACCACCTCGGTTTGGAGGACTGGCTAAAAGAAAGGGAGCAAATGAACAGAATGTTGAGGGAGAACCTTCTTGAAGCTCAAAATAGAATGGAACTGTATGCTAATGCCAAGAGATCAGAAAAATCCTTTTCAATAGGTGAAATGTTCTTGCTCAAGCTGTAACCTTATAGGCAGTCTTCTGTAGCAATAGAAAGATGGCTAAAATTGGTGCCAAAACACTATGGACCTTTTGGGTCAGAAGAGAAGGTAACGTGCGTGGTCTACTGGTTGAGTTTGCCAGTTAACTCCAGAATCCACCCCATGTTCCATGTTTCAATGTTGAACAAATACCTGGGGATTCCAAAGTCCTCAGTGATTAACTCGCTAGGATGAACAATTATGACCAATTTTAGTGGAAACTGAATCAATCTAACAGAAGTGAGTTGTCCACCGCAAGGAAAGGAAAGGGGAGGAGGTCCTAGTCAAATGGCTAAATCTGGGAGACGAAGACACTACACAGGAAGACATGGTAATCTTAAAAAGTTAATTTCCTCATTTAAACGTTGAGGAAAAGGTTAATTTGAAGCAGAAGGAGTTGCTAGGACTTGGCGAGAAGATGAATTTAAATTAGAGTCTGTTAAGCTGCTTGCATTTCCTTTCAGTTCTTTTACCATTCTGCATCTTTTACAGCTTTTTTGCATTACTTAGCCGTAGAACTGCTGGCGTACAAGTTGTTATATATGCTGCCAGCTATTGTACCATTTGCTTTTACATTCTGTAACCAATGCCAGAATGAATATGAGAAAATCCTAGAAGAATTTCCTATCCGTCTACCTTTATTCCACCTCATTCCCTTTGTTCTCTCTATTCTCTCTCTCTTACCCCTCTTTTATCTCTTATGTTCCTAACAAGATATTCAAGAAGAATATAAAAATGAACCGAAAAATTTCAACCAAGGCTTCTTCTTACTTTGAAGAGTCAAACCTTTAAGTTTTTCTTGAACCACATCCACCAACAATAGAAGAAATATGAGCTCTTGGTAAATTGTTCTTTTTGATCATGTTGACAACTTCCTATTCAGTAACTTTGTTTTGCCTCATTTTCCTCTAGAATCTACAATTTAGATTATTAAATTCTTATTTTCTTATCGAGATACAAGTGTTCAAAGTTGCAAGCTTTTGAAGTGCTTATTCTGACCTCGCCATTGTTGATGCTTAATGATTTCAAAATTCCATTTCAAGTTTTCATCAAATAAAGTAGAATGATAAAGAACAAGAGAAGCTTAAATCAGAATAATGTTAGTATTAAAAGGGATGTACACAACTATATCATTATTTAGCATCTTTTATTTATTTAACTTATTTAGGTAGATTTTTAGATATTAAAACTTAGTCTATTGAAAAAGATTTTCTAAGCTATAGTAGCTTTTGATGTCCTCTTTAATTATGTTAATACTTTCCTTACTAGACATAATTAATGCCTAAATAAATACTAGTAGCTATCAACAACAAAAAATAGACGATGATAAATTAAGAATTCTTGTGCTAGGGTTTTATCAACTATTATCTCCGTATTTATTCTTCTTGTTATTGTTTTGCTTATCCTATAATGTTCAGTCTTATCCCCCATATATTTCTTCCTCTTGATCTCCAATTCCTCTAATCTATCTCTATTCTTTGGTTCACATAAAGTTTCTCTATCTCTTAACTATCCCTAATACAAGTTAGTCAGGAGCTACTTTTCTTATATCAAAGTGTCTTTCACCTGGAATTAGGTATCACATATCCGGCTGCCAAGTGCAAGCATGCAGTTATGAGCTTGGAATGGTAAAATCTTGTAGACATACTGAAGATCAGATTAGAAGTTGTTCTCCAGGATATCTTGCATTGTTTAGAGATCGATCCAAGCACAACTGCAAGATAAATGCCTCCACCTTGTGCAGATCCAAATTGAGGTTAAACCTCAGTATCAACTACACACCTTATGGAAAATATTTTGGGCTAAGATGGGACTTGGGTTGCGTTTGTAGAGTCACATTCTACTTTAAATGCTAGAGTGAATAGCACAATAACAATCGCATGATATAATAAATAAAAAGTTTTTAGGCATAAAATTAAGATAATAAAAAAGTCAAGACATCTAAATATTACACTGTGCTATAACTTCTTTCAAATTGCAACCATAAATTAAAAATGATATACCTATTTCGTATACATACCCACATCTAAACCAAGTCAAAATTTTTAAATCTACATTATCACAACCCTAGAAGCCATCCTTGACCTGCCAACAGTTTGGGTTGGCTGACCCAGGTTGCAACCCCAACTTAGACCGCATCTAAATCAACATCCCAAATCTCACTTTGGTGAGTCTACCATTAAGTAATGATATTCATAAACATAAGTGGCTGATTGGTGTTCAAATTTCTTGGACTCTCTTCATCTATCTTTACATCTACATTGAGTAGCGAAGGACATGCCTATATTAAAATGTTGAAAAATCTTTCACAAGATATAATTTTTCAAAGTAGAATGCTTATAGTTGACAGATATTAGATTCACCTCTCCTGCCAATAAAGACCGCTGCATCCGCATGTTGTCTTCTAAATTTTCCAGCTTTTTTTCATAAACTTCTACAAGGTTCACTCTTCTCCCAAAAAGTCCAAAGAAGCCTTCATGTTTACTTTGCTGAGAAAAATTAATTGACTTTAAGCGAGCAAGCTTTTCGTACAGCTTTTCTGCTTCATTCTGACAAGGAAACATATACATCAAACACTTGATAACAAAACGAAATTAAATTCTTTAAACTTACTGTTTTAAAACTAAAATCACGTTTTTGATGCCACAACTGTGATAATTTTTTTTTCTAATTCTATGGGGACTAGTCAGATCCATAAACGTAAAAACTTTTAAAAATTTGACGACAAAAACCACTGTAGTTTTAACTTTTGAGAAGTTCAGACTTCGCGGTATTGAATGCTTAAGAAACAAACTTAGTCAAATAGGATGACGTTAAAGCTTAGTTAAGAAAAAAGGATTGCTTACTAAATAAAACTTGAACAAAAATTCCAGGAGGACATCTGTGATATTTAAGGAGTACAATAGTATGATATGACAGGTTATGTGAAATACTAGAGATGGTTGACAGTATGATCCAAAACTTAAAGCTTTGGAGATAACTTGTAACTCAACTTACTTGTTGTATATGGTATCAAAGCTTGTTTAAATCTTTTATAGTATTCAGCCTTCAAGCACACAATAGCTTATATCCAATCTCCAAATAAGTTTGATCTTTTGCTTCACTATTGCTTCACTATTAATCTTTCTGAAGTCTTGGTAAGCTATGACATGCACTCAATGTTAGACCTTTAACCCGATTTCCTCAAGGAGAACCAGTGTTAAATTCATTCATAAAAGTTAGTGCATATGATATCCATGCTCTAACTTAAGGAGAGTGTCAGAGTATACAATAGTATTTTGCATGGAGCTTTTTACTTTTCATTTAGTCCTTTACCATATAAATCCTATTCAGTTAGTTTTCCTTCTTTTGTAACAATGATCCTATAAATATTATAGTTGTAAAATAACTCAAGTCAAATTATCAGTTATTTCAAATGCTTAAACCAATAAGAAATGACATATTTTTATTAGTTAGAATATTACAAGCTGTTACAGAAAAAGCTGAGACTTCCCACTGAATGCTTACAATGAGATCTTGAAGTCTGCTACTCCGACGAACTACTGTGTGCGAAAGATAAGTAGAAGAATGAAATTCAGTGAAAAAGTTTTCCACCGTTTCGCTGAAGCTGCTCCCAGGTATGTAAGGGATTCCACGGACTAATACTGTAAATTGCTGTGGCTGAGAGTTTGATGAATAGAAGCAAGTGATTCTTTTTGATGAAATATAATTATATTCCTGTAAAAGCAGATTTTGAAAAATTCAGTAGGCATCAATTTTTATGTCATTTAAATTTTGTGCAAATTACAGATTAATAACATCTAATTTGGTGTTTTTAAGATTCAATATATGTGAGTTATTTTAAGCAGTTTCAATACTTATGGTTTGACCATTAGCTAGACAATATAATACTGTTAATTTGGACATGTGAATGGTATCTAAAATTTTCCCAAAGGAATGGCTCAGATTACACTTCCTACAATTTCTAAAATTTAAGAAGATTTAGAAAATTATAGCTAATATAAAGCTAGAAATACTAAAAATACTAAAAAATTTAAAAGAATTCATACTGGAGAAGTTATGGGGAAGTTCTTGTTACTAAAACTAATACAACTTCTAGATTTTTTTTTCTAATTTTGAAAAGTCTAATATAAACCATCCACATGTCAAATTTTTTAAATCCACACCGTGTATGTGTTCAAACTAACAGTTTTATGTTACTTTGCTAATGGTCAAACTATAAATACTAAAACTGCTACAAGCAAATTGCACAAATTGAGTCTGAAAATTCTCAAATTACAAGATATCCAACTGTACTTAATCCTTAAATTTTTATGATATAAGTAGGCTAAGTTAGAAAAAATATTACTTACATTATAAAGTAGATAGCAAACAACCCCAGTGAAAACATATGCAGCACAAAAGTGAATCCATAACCTTGAGAAGGGCCAAGAATCAGTACTCAGTAATTTAACATAACACATGCTCAGAAGTTTTGCATCAACTTGGAGAGCCTAGTAATAACTCGTTTAGAATGAATAAGCAGAAGTATGTTTGAAACTGCAGAAATAAGTTTCAATATTGGACAAATAGAAGAAAAAAATGCATTAGAAAGTTTAAAGATACAACGATTGAACAAATAAAAGCATTTTAACGAAAGAAATGATTAAATTAATATAGAGGTGTTCCTTAAAAACAAAAGGCGAGACCTTAGAAATAAAGGTTCATCCCAATTTTTTGACATTTTATAAGCCCTCAGGAATACTAGATCAAGGTGGTTTCCAAGAGGAGAGGCATATATAGATATAATACCTTGGATCTAAGATCCACTAGCCCAACAACTTTTTGGCCCCATGCCACTAACCCTCTAAAGATCAAGTCAGATTATTAGTAGTATGTAACTTGAGCATTTATATGGAAACAACAATTATATGTCTTTTCGATGTAGGGAGTATCAATTAGGACCTTATAATCTCTATAATCGAAATTCTTAATGTTTTCATTAAGGCCACATATTATATGTACAAATCACAATCCAAAGTTGCACTAGATACAAAACCGTACAAGTCCAAAGTTACCTAGTTAGCTTGTGCTCTGATACCGTTTATAACATTCGAGCCAAAGAAACCACTGAGTTGACAACTTGTTAAATGCAAATCACTAACTCTTGAAAGATCAAACTTAATTATATTTACTATGTGACTTGAGCACTTATATGGAGGGTGACAGGCACATATATTTTTCAGTGAGATTGGGTTATCACAAGAGAACTTTCTACTAAATGAAATTATGTAATTATGGACTATTTTAGTCACTTTTACAATCTTAATTAATTATTATAGTGATCTGGAATAGGTAGAAAACATAAAAATTATAAATCTCTAAGGAATTCAAGATGGTATGGAAGTGTTGCACATATAAATTATGATGTAGATAACTTGTTGAATGCAAATCAGTAACTCTCGAAAGATCAAATTTAAGTTATATTTACTATGTAACTTGAGCACTTATATGAAGGGTGACAATCACATATATTTTTCAGTATGAGATTGGGTTATCACAAGAGAACTTTCTACTACGTGGCATTATGCAGTTATGGGCTATTCTAGTCACTTTTACAATCTTAATTAATTATTATAGTGATCTGGAATAGATAGAAATATAAAAATTATAAATCTTCAAAGAGTTCAAGATGGCATGGAGGTGTTGCATATATAAATTATGATGTAGACAACTTGTTGAATGCAAATCACTAGCTCTCGAAAGATCAAGTTTAAGTTATATTTACTATGTAACTTGAGCACTTATATGAAGGGTGACAATCACATATATTTTTTAGTATGAGATTGGGTTATCACAAGAGAACTTTCTACTAAGTGGCATTATGCAGTTATGGGCTATTCTAGTCACCTCCTAATCAATTACAATCTTAATTAATTATTATACTGATTTGGAATAGGTAGAAAAGGTAAAAATTATAAATTCCAAGGAGTTCAAGGTGGCATAGAGGTGTTGCAGATATAAATTATGAATGTGGTTTTATTTTTCAATATTACTGTAGTAATAAGTGAAAGAATGAGAAACAAAGTGAATGGAAATAAAATCAAATAGAACCTTAATGACTTTGCATAATGTAGTACAAGTTTTAAATACTCGTAGATTTTAGGAAAGTTAAAGTAATATTTGACTCAAGAAACCCATAATACATAAGAGAGAGATAGAGAGAGGGAACATAAGAGAGAATAATTGAGAGAGTAACTGGGAGGGAAAATTTCTCTTAATTTTTTTTTTTTGAAATAAAAGTATTTGATTTGTATAAAATTCCTCTCAATTTTATGAGTGGTTTTTAAGCAATAATTATCCTATCAATTTACAAATTTTTGAAAGGAGAAGATGAGTAAAAGTCAAACCATATTTTTAATTGCAGCTACTTCAGCACATTCAGATATTAGCTATACCGATATTCGCATTTATTCAACTGGTAGTAAGTAATTACCTGTTTGAGCCATTGTTGACATTTGAAATACTAAATGAGTCCAACGACTTATTTGGCAAATCAGCAAAATCAACATTCAACTGGTTTCCCAAATAATTCACTGGAAGTAGAACAAGGACTCCAATTATACTAGCAAAACTAAACACCCGCAAGCTGAAAATAACAGATAAATAAAATGAGATCAAGAATTAACAAGAAGATCAAGAAAGAAAAAATCCATCAAAAGTCAAAATAACTTCACATGTGAATTTCGTTTTTGATTATTAAAGTTGAATACCAAGCAGAAAAAGAAAAAGCAGCATAAATGGCTAAAGATCAAAACCATAGTTGAAAATGTGAGAGCGTAAATGGTATTCACTATAGATGAAGTATATAATTTATGAGCAAAACCAAGAAGATAATATAATAAATATTTATGCAAAGGTAGAGAGGATGAAGCATGCACTTTCAATAAGGTCCATCTCAAATGAATTGTAATTTCATGATTGTAACTTAGAAAATGTGAAATGTTAGGCAGTAATGTTCTAAGTCAAGTGAGAATGTAAACTTTGAAATAATAGACAACAACATTTGGATATCTCCTGTTTATTTTGAGCTCTTATTATTATCTACTTTATTTGATGAATTACTCACTATGTTTGGGTGTTTCCATTAAAAAGAAAATTTTAGGTTTAGACAACGTTCATTAACTTCCATCAGTTCACTTTAACTCAACTTGGAACCAAAATTAAGAATTTTTAGTGGGACAGTGGCAGATGATTTTCAAACAATCAGAATACTCTATTGCTTCAAAATAAGGTCTACATATGAAATTTTTCTAGCCTTACACTCTCCAATAAAACAGCAAGGCTAAAAGGATGCATCTTTTAAAATATCTATGGTCCAGATAATGCTTATTCAACCTTCTCCTCCTCCTTTTTTGGGTTGAAGCTCTACACATAGCAACCCACACCCTCAACAAACTACCTTATCCTCCAATTTTGTGTGCAATCCCTTTTAAAGTATCAAAAATTTCTATAAACAAATTTTTTTTAACATTTTGCAGCTGCTGATATTCTAATTTCTCAGTTACAGAGTCTTACAAACTCATCTATCAAAGGAATTAACTGACAACTAATTAGCCAGCAGATTTTATGCAATTAATCAGTAAATTTCAGACAGTTATGGCAGTAAATTAAGCAATTAATTAGCCAGCAGATTTTATGTATAATTTTATAACTTGTATAACTTTAATAACTTTAATTATGACAGATTTGTTTAGTTAATTTAGAGAATGAAAATTAGCTTGTATATTTGTATATATAATGAGAATTCTCTTCCATGGAGGATAGACAAAAAAATTTCTTCTCAAAATCTCTTAAATCGTCATGGCATCAGAGTATAGATTCTAAATTCTTAAAAAAAATTTCTTATTTCAAGTCTCAATCTTATTCTTATTCTTAGTATAGTCCTTTATTCTTATTTGTTCTTGATCAAGTTCTCTCGACATCATGTCCACAGATAAGTATGAGTCCATCTTGATTCGTTTTAATAACAAAAACTATTCATTCTGGGCATTTCACTTCAAAATTTTTGTCAAAGGAAAATATTTATGGGGCCATATTGATGGCAGCAAACCTGCCCCATACAACGATAAAGAAAAGGATGAGCATGCCAAGTGGGAGGTCAAGGATGCTCAAATCATGGTATGAATTCTAAGATTTGTTGACTCGAATATCATCTTAAACCTCTAACCCTTCAAAACTGCAGCTGAGATGAGGACTTATTTAAAGAAACTCTATAGCCAGTACAACATTGTTCGAAGATTTGAGCTTGAACATGAATTAGCTACTTTTCAACATGGCAATCTTTCTATCTTTGATTTTTATTCTATTTTTATAAATCTTTATACTGAATATACTGATATAGTATATATTATCTTATCTCTTGAATGTCTTATCTCTATTCAATTTGTTCATGAAACTACTAAAAGGAATCAACTTCTTATGAAATTTAGATATGAATTTAAAGGTACCAGATATAATCTTATGAACCAGGAACTTGTCCCTTCATTGGATGTATGCTTCAATGATTTGTTTTGTGAGTAACAACGAATTCTCACTCAAACCACTATGAAACAATAAAGATCTACCTATGTTGTTGTGGTTTATGCAGCACAAGGTAAGTCAAAAGGTAGACACTTAAGCACAATTCAGTGTTTTTGTTGCAAGGGGTTTGGGCATTATGCTTCAAACTATTGAAAAAAATTCTACAACTACTGTAAAAAGGACGACCACATCATTAAGGAATATCTTATCCAATCTCTTAACAAATCTGAAACAGTATATACAGCGTCTGTTGGTTCTTCTAGTACTGGTAATTCTGTGAACATAGTACTTAGTGCTCCTACTACTCCTATTCTACTTGTAATTACTGAAATAATTCAACAAATGATCATCTCTGAATTCTCTATCCTAAAACTCCCAAGTAAATCTTTCTCAACATCATCTCCTTGGTACTTTGATTCTGCAGTTCTAATTATATGACCAACAATCCAAATTTTCTTACTAATATAAAGAAATACTTTGAAAACCTCAAGATTTATACAACTGATGGAAAGTTTTTATCTATCACAGTCACTAGAAACATTTCTTCTTCTCTAACAAATGTTTTTGTCTCTCCTAATCTTACCAGTAATCTTATTTATATCAGTCAATTGGTTGATAATAACTATAAAGTGGAATTTCCTAAATCTAGTTGTATTGTGCAGTATTAACAATCGGGAAAGACGATTGCAAGGGGGTCTAAAGTAGGGCATCTTTTTCCCCTCCCATTTTCTTTATCTCCATGTTTCTCCCTGCCCAATATCACTTGTAATTCTACTCATTTTGATTATCAAAACTCGAATGTACTACATGTTTTACTAAATTCTAGTTTGCTTAGGAACAAAAACTCAACATTTCTTAGTGTTGTTCAATTTGATTGCAATTCTTGTAAGTTTGGCAAAAGTAAAACTTTATTATTTCCCACTCACACACCAAATGTAGTTCAGTCTTTTGATTTGATACATAATGATGTGTGGAGTATGACACCAGTTACTTCTCATGCTAGTTACAAATACTTTATCACTTTTATTTATGACTATAGTCTTTTCACATAAATCTATTTTGTTTATTGTGGAGACGAACTATTTTCTGTTTTCAAGTTTTTTCATGTACATATTCAAACCTAATTTTCTACTAAAATCAAAATCTTTCGCTCTGCCAATAGGGGTGAGTACATGTCTCATTCTTTTCAGGAGTTCCTACAAACTAATGAAATAATTTCTCAACAATCTTGTCTTTCAACCCTACAACAAAATAGGGGTGGCAGAGAGAAAGAATCGTCATCTTTTTTATATTATTCGCACCTTTCTACTAGGGTCTTTTGACCCTCTCGGGTTTTGGGTGTGAAACTCTCTCCACTATTATGCACCTCATCAACAAATTGCCATCTCCCTCATTGAACCATGCCTCTCCAAATTATTTGGTCGCAATCCAATTATTCTAACCTTTGTACTTTTGGGTTGGTGTGGGGCTTTGTACATCTTACTGCACATGAACGCACAAAACTTATACCTCAATCAGTTCAATGTACATTTTT